TTCTTATTTAGGTGCTTCCCTCTCACTTTAAAACCTGAATTTCAATGCATTTAAAGTAATGAGATCTTTACTACAAATACAACAGGGAAGGGAGTGAGGGAAGCTGCATATGACCCTACTAAGTGCTTCTCATCTGTATAAAAGCATGACTGTTTAAGTAGCCATCTTACTTGTGACAGATTTAATTCATTTTTTAAAAAGATGTATCAAATTCATAAGCAACAGGTTAGCCCATCCTAAGTCTGCTGACCCTCATCCCTTGTTTATCCAATCGCAGAGAAAGGAGGACCTTCAACCCTTTCCAAATTATAGAGGGAGGGGCAGGTCCACAAATGGCACTATAGCTGCAGTAACAAGGGTAGGAAAACTATACAAAGTGGTTGAGCAAAGGGGATTAAAAGATGCAGCTTGTGTAAGATAGTCGAGAGGTTAAAGTCCAAGATGGGCAGTTTAGGGTGAGAGGTGTTAGGTTGATGGACAGGCTTAGGGAGGTTTAAATCTGTGGCCGGGCAGGGGAAAGCTAGGGGCTGTGCGTTTCTGGGGGCATGGAGCTGTGTAAAAAGAGAGCAAAACATGAGTGGATTTATAAAGACAGGAAACCCTACTCATGTTCCTAAGAAAAGGAGAAAGGGTTGGTAGTGAAAGCATACCTGATTACTAGAGAGCTTAATGAATAGCAAGGATATACACATCATCATAACATTGTCACAGCTCATAAAAAAAGGAAAATAAACATTAACAAAAACCAAAAAGGACATAAAATCTTCACAAATGTCTCAACAGTATTTAAAAATAAAAGGAGAAAAGGTTGTTCAGGCGTTCGTCGCATGTAAATAGTGCAAGACAACGTCAACTGCTACAGTGAGGCACAATGTACATATATGTGGGGTTTATATAGGTTTTGCCAGTTACATCACTATTGAGCAAGTTATAGAAATGAACAGATGTAACTCATACTTGCGCGTCCTTTTGTCAGAAGTGATGGCAGCGGTGTGGATCAATGGCTTTGTTAATGGGCAAGAAGCAACAGTTTACTCAGTGTCTATTTACATATCAGCAAATGCCAGCAAATCGTTAAAAAAAACTGCAGAGAGAAAGGGGAAAAATATACTGATGCATTAATTACAGTTAATCTCAAGGAAGTGCAAAGTTGTGACAGCGAACGCCTTGAACAATCTCTTCTTACGTCTTTTGTACAAGCTGGTAATATCAATTCATCTCAACATTAACTGGATAAAAATTTAGCCTTAGTTTACAATACAATCTTTTTTTTCTGATCATAATTTACTCTTCGTACAAAAAAAACGCCAGAAAACAGGTCTTTTGTGGTTCATATACAATCATGTAAAGACTGAGTCTAGATTTCTATTCTGTACAAACACTTGTGAAAAAAAACCCACGGCTTTGTGTATGGAATTTATGGCTGGGGAAAGTCACTACTGGCCTCAGTGCTACAGATCTGCCTGCAAATTACATGTGGTGTGTGTGTGTGTGTGTGTGTGTGTGTGTGTGTGTGTGTGTGGAGCTGGATGGCAACTCCTGACAGTGAGAGGAATGCTGGTTTTATTCCTGTGTATCGGCCATTACTCGCTGTCCCTGCCCTAAAAGCAATCAAGACAAATACTGGTAATAGCCCCCCCACTCCCCAATCGCTTTGCCCATCAGCCTAAATCCCCTCACCGCTTGGTCAAAAAAAACAAAACAAAAACAAAAAAGGTGATGCATGGGCCACATGAGCTCCTAAGCACAAGACTAACCTAACAGCTATACAGGCTGGGGTGAAATTGTCAGCAAACAGGATGGTAGCGTCTATCAAATTTTCACATCGTGGCTTTTCAGCACTACACACCATCTGTGTGAAACATCAAATCTAAGCTCGGGATTCTTGTTTTCTAGGCATCTGTGGATTTTGGTAGCAGTACCAGGTCCAGGGTCAGAGGTGTAGACTATCTTGTAGCACCACGGGAGGCCATGACTACACAAAAGGCCTCAGCACCACAGTATGACAGCAGGAAATCTCACCTCATACGAGCTGCGCTACATCCGCCTCCTGGGATACTTAAACTACCAGCAAAAAGCTGCTCTAATCCCAACACATCTGCCTCAACAAATGTGCGTATCCTAGAAAACCAATCATGTAAGCTGGCTGCCCAAACTGTAGGGGATAACTAGCACAAGCAAAGGATGGAGTATTGAGACTGACAAGTCTGCTGTCTTTGCTGGTTTCAGGTTTATACAGGACAGACAGACATGCAGACCATCAGCCATGGAGCTCTTCAGTGGAAAGTCATTTCCTTCAGCCAAAATAAAAAAAAAAGTATCCCCCCCTCACTCTTAAACCAAACAGTGCCCTAAGTGACAAATATGAATGAGCTACCATCCCTTCTCATTTTAAAAGACAGAAGCAAAGTGTGTAGGGTTGGTGGATCTTGAGAACAAAGGGGAGTCCAAAAACAAAATATGGTACACAAACAGGACTGAATTGAGCAGTTAAAAACAAAACAAACAAAAAAAAGAAAAATATAGAATATCTATAACATTATACGAAATCCCTGTCAGCCAGACCTCACTGTATGAATATTTTACAGGTTGTGTTTTTATGTCTTCCTCCTTCAGTTTGGTGGAGGGAAGAGCTGGTAGTGGGAGGAAGGAGGAGGGTTGAGAGGGAGAGGCTCCCCCTGGTGGTTAGGCAGGGTCTCACTACCTGCGTGTCGGCAGATGGAGCCCATTCACCTGGGGGGGCAGGTTGGGCAGGAGCAACTCCAGCTGAGCAAAGAGGGAGAAGTGGTCAGAGGGGATGTGTGGATGTGGGCAACCGCTGACATTGTTCTCTACAAGCCAGTGGTGGTCCAAAGGGCCCAAGATACCCAGCACGTTCAGGTGAGGCTTCGAGTAGAAAATATAGTCGATGACACCCTGAGAAGAGAAATAGAGAAGTGACTTTTGCATAGTTTTGTGTAAGAACAGACTGGTCCTCAATATCGTTAAAAAAAAAAAAACAAAACAAAAAAAAACAAAAACAAATACATTTAATATAAAAAAAACCAAAAAAAACACCACATATGTGTAATTACCTTAAAATCGAAGGTGTAGTTGGTATAAGGCATCAGGCCGTTCTCATAGGCGGTCTTTAACTTGAAGCCATGGGTGATCCTGCCATTAGACGTGCTGTTCTTGCCATTGCAATTGAATTTGGTCAGACAGTCGCTGTAACGGAGCTCCTTGAAGTCCTTGTGTGTGCAGTCCACTCCACCAGTACTCAGGTACTCCACTACGCCTGAACAGAGAAGAACTGAACCATCAGCATTTAAAAACAAAAAAACCAGATGATGATGACGTCGACGACGACAACTTATCCCACTAAAATATTGTTAAAAATAAAACAGGTGGAACATGGACCATTTTTTATTAGTTAAGAAAAAATACACCGTTTGCAAAGGAATTTGTGAGACTCCATTATTATTTCAACTCAAATTTGACTATAGTAAAAAAATATAGCAAAAATATATTGCACTACTGTATGCAGTGAGCAGGCTAACAATTCTGTTCACCACCACAAAAAGGCAAATACTGATGTAATTTATGTTTTTATGAATGCCAAACAATTATTTTCATCTATTTATCCAATTATAATCAAACCCATTCTCAATTGCAAGGCAAGAGAAAATTAGGCAAAACAAGGTTGTCAGCATCTTTAAAACATGCCAGATTTAACCATCCTTTACTCGCTTCACTGAGATATGTTCGGCAGCAACAACATTAATCAGCTGTTAACATAAACTCAGCACTTCACTGGAGGCACCTCAAACACTTTTTTCAAATTTATTTAAAAAAAAATTTAAATTGTATTTTATGAACAATCGGTGCACTCGAAGTAAAACATTTTCTTAAGAGCAGGTCGAGTACAGCCTACTTACCTGAGTCAGGCAAGGAGTTGAGGTCAGCGCACAGCACCAGTGGAATGGCATTAGTCTCGCCAGAAACAGAGGACAACTTGAGGCTGCGTGTGGCCTTATCCACTATGCTTTTCACCTCTGACAGGAACATCATGGTCTGGACCAGCTTGACATCAGAATACTCTGGGTCCCAGTGCATGTGAGCATTGGCTACAAGGAGCAGCTGCTTTTCCATGCCATGGAGAGACTTACCAGCTGAAATGAGTGGCAGAGAAAGAAGGGTGGGGTGGGGCATTTATTAACAGGCATGTTTAACAGGGCAAAGGGGTACTAAGAGCATTAGGACAAACTGAACACATTGCCCTTGGCATAATCATCACCAAAATCCTCTGCAATACCTCTCGAATAAAATTCAGCGAGAAGATGAATTTGTAGTACAAAGGGCTGATCTTAACTGTCTACTCACAGGAGAGCTCCATCATCTCTTTGCGGACCTCAAGCAGTACAGCTACCCCAATGTTATCCTTTGTCATCACCCTGTTCAGCATAGCCTCTGAGCCCTCGGAGTTAGCCATGGCCAGCTGGTTAAACTCCACTGTGTGCTTCTGCACTGCACTGAACCTAAAGGCAAACGGGGAAAAAGAACTACTTAAAGCACTTTCTAAGCAGAGATGAGCAGAAATAATAAATAGAAAAGTCATAATAAGTTGGAAATACAAAGTATTAAGAGGTCCATAGAAATCAAAACCTGACATATTTGGCATTTCTCACATTCAGGGTTATGACTTTGCTATTGTGGACCATATTTTGTGCAATACTGGCAGTCTTGCCTTGGGGGGTCCAGTTCAAAATGCACAGCTGAATAGAGCCTACCCACCAACATATTGTTTGCAATCAAACTAAAATAAAATTAAAAACAAAATCCATAAATATTGTATCGGTCTGAATGCTACAAAGAAATAAGAATACTTTTCCTCTGACTCTACACAAAACTGGATGGCTTTAGACTTGGGAACTAACTGAAAAGCGCTCAGCCTTGTTTGGGAACCCACGTTTCATAACTATGAGGATTCACACAAAAATTTAGGTCATTGTGAAAGCACAAGAGTGCAAGTGGTTAGAAGAACCAAGATGATTATCTGGATGTGAGAGCAGCCAAATATCAATTAGGTAAGGTTTCTAATTTCATGGTCCTGCTATCAGAAGCTTTTGATCACCTTACTAAAGGAGTTCAGATAAGATAAGATGACCTTTATTAGTCCCACAGGTGGGAAATTTGTTTTGTTACAGCAAAAGTGCAAAGTTATGTAGCAGAAATTAGAAAACACTGGAATGCAATAAAATAAAATACAATAGAATAAAATATAATACTATATACAACTGAGTAGGAAAATACAAAAATACAACTTCGTGAGTAGAAGAATTGCACAAGAATTGCACATATAGCAGTCTTATTGCACATGTGTGGGTTTGTGTGTTTGACCTCAAACAGGACCTCAAACCTGAGAGGTTGGGGTTAAAATTATACATGAATGGTGTGTATTATATAATTATTTATTCTTTTAAACTTCACTGACTGTGTGCATTCTCTGGTAAATCACAACTTCTCTAAAAGAGACAACTGGAGGTGAGCAACAACTATTTGAATGCTAATAAAAGCTACATGTAAAGCTTTTCTTGTCTCTAGAACAGTTTTAACAAAATGTTAAAAGGTTTATCGTTTCAGTTTAACCGTTTGTTGCACATATTGTCTTTATGATGGAACTTTTTGACAGTGATAAAAACATTACTACTATTAGGTGCTATATGAATAAACCTTTTAGCTTTAACGCAAGCATTACTAAAGACAAACTACATTAACCACTAAAGAGTGAAACAAAACTACACATACCAAAAGAATAGTTTCACTTCAACTTGAAAACAACAGTTAAACTTTAAGTTAAGCTAAAGCTAGATTAGCCTTTTTGGTAATTGCATTATACGGCTGATGGCATCACTGTCTGGAGACTACAATAAAAACTTAATAGACTTTCTCCTTTGAAGTCAAGTTAAACTGATAAGATATGCATAGCAATACTTAAGCATAGGTTACAGTGTCCCAGTGTAATAGACTGGATTTTGAGTGAAAGGTTTACAACATGATATTTCATTTCTTTCTGAGAACTACTGCATCCACTTTGTGGACACTAGAGACAACCCAAAAGGAACATCGGTCACTCAGACAACAGCAGTAGGTGACGTCAGGTTTAATTGAGATTGTTTTATCACTAAGCTAAGCACTGGCTAACAAGTATTAGTGAATATAGTGAAGCAGTTTCAATCTAATTCACCACAGGAACTCAAATCACTGCGAGCTATTCTTAAACCAAGAAATAGTTGCCACAGGACAAAAACTATAGACACATACTTTTCTGTCCTGTAAAAAACTGCACATCCATCCACGTGCTTTCGATCCGACTCAGACATAGTTCTGGCTCGTGACTTTGGACTGAAGAACCCGTCATATCCTTGCTCCTTCAGCTCTGGCAAGAAGAAATTGTAGTACTGCTCTGTCTCAACTTCCTGCAATTAACAGCAAAAAACAAGTTCCAGGGTGAACAGGAAAGGCTGTTATTCATGGAAGTACATCAGTTAACCCCCTCTAAATATAAGGCCATCTGGCTACATTAGCCATCTATTAACAGGATGGGTAAGAGACAGCGTGTGATAAAATAGCCATGAAAATCTGCATAATATAATAACTAATGGTGATCTTTGGGGATGACACTGATGAATAGGAGAAACATCTTTGTGCAAGACATAATTTAAAGAGCTCCCAATTAACACTTCTTGGGGTATGTACACATTTGAAATGCAATACTATTCCCACCTTTTTATTCTTTTATATCTAAAATTTCCAAAACTCAGTTTGTATGTTTTATCTGGGGTTTTTTTTGGGTTTCTTTCTTCTTCTCCTCACAAAAAAAGTATAACATTTTAATTTGACGCAGACTAGAGTTTACATATTAAAGTCTTTTCTGTTTTAAAATCTGGTTTTGAGCTTACACATTTTTACAAATGTAAAAACTAAATTACAACATTAATAATAAAACTGTAAGTGATACCAGAAGATTCAGGTTCAAGGAAAGTAAGACAATAATTTAACCTACATGTCCATTGAATAAGTATCATCTGAAAACATCACAAATCTCTGATTATTAGAACTGGTAGTCAATTCAGTATGGATGATCATGTACTAAATTAAATGGGCCAGGCTTGGAAGAGATTCGCAGAAACCAATACAAGTCTCTCCAGCTTGTATAGTTTTGCCTTTTAGCCGACATGACCCCTCCCAAGAATAGCTGCTACATCCATAACAAAACAGTGCAAAACTAGTTTTGCTTCACTCAGTATATGTGCTTGTCTTTACCCCTCGGCGGTCCTAAGGGCTGACAGATTGCAAAGCAAATAAAAACCCATCTAGTGGTGTCTTTATAATGAACAGGTGGCGTCTGAGCTAACGTGGTGCATTAAAAAAATAAATAAATTAAAATAAAATGGATAACAAACAAATGGATAAAAACATAATGAATTAAGCCTCTAACAAACACAAAGATCACTAGTTCCAATAGAAGCACCTGAATATTTAGCTGCAAACAAAGGTCTAATCTAAGCACTCAACCACAAAAGAAAAGTTTGCAATTTGTTGACACTGTCCATTAAACTGAACACATCACAATTTTCAAAACTGTCAACTGAACATAGTACTCTAATAAGAGTGTTAGCATAACAGTTTAAATGTGATATTGTTAAAATAATGAGTGACAGAATTTTGTGTTTGTGTGTGGTCATGAGAAAATTTTAGACCAATTTCTTGGATCCATTTGATAGAAAGCAAAATGGAAACAATTAAGAGCCAGTGAAAGAAACTATGACATCTCTCACCTGCAAGCTGATGATGTCTGCATTGCAGCCCATGATCTCCTGCATTATGGATTTTTTCCTGTACTCCCAGTTTAGAGCCCAAGTGGGACAATAGCCATATAGCTGACGTGTGGCATACTTATCACACAGCACATTGTAGCACATCACAGAAAACAATGCTGAGGAGACAAACAGGAGAAAAACAAACAAAAACATCTTAACTGTGCACACAGTTACAATTAAAAATTCATTAAAAACAAAAAAAAAACAACAACAAAAGAACCACAAATCTGCAGTTGCTTGCAACAGTAAAAGAAAATAAAAATGCTGAGTAAATCTCATCATTACGGAAAGCACCAAAATCAACTACCAATACTTCTTCAAACCAGGAATCAGATCAGCCGTTCTTTTTGACTCATTTGTTCTGCTTTGCTTCAGCAACCGAAACAATGCTCATACACTAGACTAAACACAAGTGGCAGAGCTTCTGCTCTAGAAAGAGGGGCGACACTAAATTTCACACCAAACAGATTATAAATTTGTGCACCTTTCAGGTCATAGGAAACATTCAGCATGTTTGTGTCAAACTGGGCATTTTCTTGATGATCAGATACATGCGAATGGCAGTCAGTTTATGTGGGTGCAAGCTGGATCCATACTAAACTACATCAAACTTTGGTTTGCAAACTTTGTACTTTACATAACTGTAGCTTCCAGACTTGATGTCATAGTTTACAAATCCACTACCAAATGTTGTAACCTGATGACGCAGTCTTCTCTGGACTGTATACTACTATGAGGACACTTGTGCGCAGTGTACATCTTTAACAGGTCTGAGCTGTCTAAATGAGTTGCAGTCTGAACTGCTCTTTTAGGATCTACCAAATATTTGTGGTTTAAAGCCACAGTGCTCAACTGATCACTGCATTGCATACCATCCTGAAACTCACAACCACACAAGACAAAAACCATACAGGTACTTCTGTTCAAAGTCATGTTGTGTGTATTTTGTTCTTACCCGAGGGCCGTGCTCGATCAGTTTCCTGGAGTGTAATCCACGACCGGGGTGGGGGTTGTTCTGTTGGCACTGAGTTTATGGAAAATGGTTCAGCATAGGTATCAACATATTGTCAAACAGGGATTTATTTAAAGAAAACAAACAAACAAAAAAACAAAACAAAACCACACACACACACTACATGATCTGTTGAGCCTGCTTACTGATTTACCTTTTCAGTAAAAATGACAACATATGCTGAAACTTCTCACAAAAGCAAGAGAGAGAACACTCACTGCGCTTTATAGCCCCCGCCAGATTGTCTAACAAGTAGCTCAGCAGCCTCCGCGTGCCATCAGGTTCCTGGTAGAGGCTCAGAATTTCTTGTGCAAGTGGGTTTCCTGTTGAAGGAAAAGCAAATCAGGCTAAATCATCAGTGTTTCCCCTACCCGAGACCTCCTGGGCCCCCAACTAAACATAGGAGGAAAAAAATAGATAAAAAATGTAGACAGAAAAAAAAAAAAAAAAAAAAGGATACATTTTGTACATGTCATTACCAATGAGCATTTGTTCACTTCCGCTTGAGTCTGAACTGTACACGTGTTTAACCATGTACTTCACTGAAATTGTACAACCCCTAACCACCCACCCACACGAGGGAATCAGGATAATGTTACTCAAGTGGAACACTTGTTAGGTTACTGTACATGCAATGAAATGTTGCCAACAGCAGTTACTCTGTCTAAAACAACAGCATGTATGACCCCATTTCAAGTTTGTCTTTAATAACAGAAGAAAATGATAACATAAACATCAGTTGCCACCACTGCCAATTCACCCTCTACTGTTGCTGCATCCTTAGAGAAATAAAATTACACCTTATAATATGGAGGGATTTCCAGTCCAGAATGGCTACAAAAACATTGAAGAGCCACTCACCTTTCAACCCCAGTGTTTGTAACTGAAAGAGTTTCCCCAATTCAAATGGCAGAACCCGCAACTGGTTGTTATTTAAAAGCAGTTCCCTGTGGAGGGCAGATGGGAAGTGGATCATTAGAAACTAAACTTCTAAGATTAAAAATAAATACATAAAACTCTTTGTCTTTCAAAAACATTTTCCGAAAGTCGTCATTTAAAAATACAAGCATTACTTGACAGTGTTAAAATGATTATGAATGCAGCCGTTTAAATTAAAGTGAGACATTTCAACAGATGGGACAAGAGTGACAGTGGTAAAAATCAGCATATACATATATATATACACACACACACACACACACACACACACACATATATATATATTTTTTTTTATTTATTTTTTTATTTTAATTAAAGTAAGGTATGAAGAAAATAGTCCTTTATAACCCAATTTAGGATACAGGTTTATCACTTACCTGAGAGACACCATGTTGCCGAGCTCTGCCGGCAGGCTCCTGATCTTATTGGATGAGAGATCCAGGTACACCAGGTTGTGTAGTTTGGCAATGTCTGGCGGGATGCGTGACAGTGAGTTGTCACTGAGGTGCAGGGCAGTGAGGTGGGTCAGAGACCACAGGGCTGTGCTGAGACTCCTTACTCTGCCTGTGGCGAAAATGGGGAAAAGGCCAAACAGGACAATAAGTCCAAGAATCCAACGCCATTTTCACAAAGATAAATGTGAAAGAAAACTGTTCCCCATTGATATGAATAAGTCAAAACAGGTGAGCTGATTTCACAGTGGAAAAACAAAAAAACAAACATGTTTGCAATATTTCTCTTTGATAGTGAGGATTTAGTAATTACTTGTGTGCAGCTGTGCAAAGCAATGGAAAAAAATATGTGAGAGGAAAATAAATTAAAAAACCCCCAAATGATTTATCTACACAAGCAGAAGATACTCACCACTGATTTCCAGCTCAGCCCAGTATGACTTCTTCCCATTTGCTGCCTCCTCACTGGACATAATTGTGTACATCCGCCTGGGATCCGGCGGGTCATATTTTTCCTTGGGCATTCCTATAACACTAGAGAAATAATTTATATTTTAATTCACCAACAACTAAAAGTATACTAAAAATGAAGTTCAAGCTCATAAATGTAGCCTGAAATAATCCAAAGTAAGTTTGAAGTGATGTGTCTCGCTCATCAGGTTAGCCCAGGTGACTGTAGCGACCACCAAGATGTGATTAAACTCATAAGTTTCCGTTTACTGATTATAAATCCTTCATATGGAGCTGTTAAAATGTCAACAGCTCCCTATAAAGACCGTGATTTCGCTTGAGTTACATAATTTAACAGCGTAAAATAATTACAACTGTAGAGCCATATTTTCCACGCCAACTTGAAAAACTAGGCTCTTAACAGTGTGAAGCTTTAATTTGTGCAATAATTAAACCACATTTGTAAAAATTAGGTTAGCACATTTTTCCTCTCAGTGACGCTAACTGATTAGTCTAGCTTAACCTAATTAGGCAGCTATCGAACTACACATAACAGACGCTAGTTAACAAACTAGCTCCCTTGCTAACTAGCACGACGGAAAACAGACAAACAAAATTTACCAGTTAGCCGACGCTAACGCCCTTTTCAAGTGGGTAAATGGATAATACACTAAATAATATTAAAAGATACCATGCAGTCTCGCTTTATATAATACCAAAGCACTGAGTTGCGCATAAACACTAGGCCACGCAACAACGCATTAGTTAGCTGTCATTAGCTAGCTTCCACTAGCAAGAAGCACTATCACGGAGATAAACAGAGAGGAACCCAATGCACACAAAGCGACAAAGCTGGACTTGAAAGCAATTTTGAGCTATTTAGCTTAGCTTGTGTTAGCTTATTGGCTAAAAGCTAACATCCTAATTATGTGAAGCTGACCACTTCCTATTAAATAAGTGTTATTTCGGAAAATTACGGCAGCACTTCTAACATTCCGCATAAGATTTTGGTCAATTGGGTGAAAATGGGTGAGTTATAACAGAAAGGATTCAATTTTTACCTGCAAGAGCATACCAAATCGCGAGGACGACTGCGTGTTCTCTTTTGTTTTCTAGCTACTTCTCACCCGTTTCCGCTGCTGTATCATGGCGACTGTAAGGATTTTTTTTTTCCTGTGCCGATAACGGCGCCTGATCTTATTGGTCAGCGTGTGGAAGGTCCAACCAGCTGTTGAACCACAATAAATATCAAGTGAGGAATGATGGACCTTGAGATGGAGCGACAAAATGCCATTATTCACTTTACTGTGGCTTATCTAGAAATCATGCTCAATCAAGCACAATGATTATCACGTATTGTGTACTCTATCGGCATAATGATGTAATGCTTGCATCTGTGTGGAAGTAAATTACACACAATGACAAAACTTTTCATAGAAAAAGGCAATATAATTTATTGAGAAAAGTGAGTTCTTCAATTAGTTTGACTTAATTAGGCCAAACAAAGAGGGCCACAGTTTTATACAAAAAAATAAAATAAAAATAAAGGTCACCAACATGTAGCCACACATCTGAAAGCACATTGATTTGCTCTCCTGATATGTAGACTGTAGTATTGATATTTTAACCTTATATAT